ACCAAACCAGCCCAGTAATGCCGGCAGCTGCCAGTTAGGGCTTAGCTAGTAGCTCTCAGTAGCTTCCAGGATGAAGCATAAAGTTACCGACACAATTATCACTGGCCAGGCCAGCAGTTGTTCTAGTGTTTCTCTCCTATTTCACATGCCTGCTTGAAAGACCATTTCCCCAGTCCTCCACTGCAATAACTTATTTCATACTTACACAAAACTGGGTCTTACTGGAAATGACACATACAGCTTAACAAAACAGTTCATGCAAACACAAGGGCAAGAGGCTCAGCCAAACTCTAGTCAATCAAAGCCAACATGCTCTAGGTCCATTCAAAGCATCATTTTCCTTTATTCTCTTCTCATTAACATCATTTTCACAGATGTTAACGACTTTACAATACCTTGTGTCCAAACATTAAGGCGGTCAAAGACCAAATCCCTGAATAAGCACACACTGTGCAAAACCAATCATACATGCTCCACCCACGTGGACAACTTGCTGGGGAACCACATGTGTACCTGGGCAGGAAGGAAGGAAATCAGGAGAGCAGAGGAGACAACTCCTCTGATAGTGACCTCCCGATACCAGCATGAAGAATGTCTGTATGTTCACGTGGGATGAATGCTGAGCAGCTGATGTGCTGCACACACGTTCCCTACTTCATCCCAAGGTAGGCTGCTCTTACACTACAGTCCAGGTGTACTGCTTGCTGACAGATTCATTATCACGAGCCTTCCATCAACTACAAGCTTGCAACAACACCACAGAAAAACATACTTGAAACAGATGAAATAATGAAAACTGAAAAACTGCAAAAAGAAGGGGCTGTTTCTTAAGGAGGGGTGTGTATGTGTGTGTTTGTTCATTTGTTCTGTTGTTGTTTTTTTTTTTTTTAAGAGGTAAAGTGACCACTGAAGCAAGAAGCAGCCGCAGGGGGACACCCCAGCCATCTTTCTTCAGAAGATGTTTCGCTATTTGTCTTTCTCCTGCTTGAAATGCTTGTAACTTTTAAATACAAGAAAACAACCTATGTACTTGCATTAGGTGGGAGGGTATATATTTCACAAAGGCTACATTGCTGTTCAAACTAGTTTCACTTCAGTATTTTCTTGTTTCTAGTGGTAAACAGTGCCACAAAACAGAGTCAAGCACAGTTTAGAGACTGCACCACAAAATTTTTCATAGGCTACAAGCATTTCAAGCATTCATTTAGAACAAATATCTCAGAAATAATTGCGAAACGAGGAGGACCCATGATGTAATTCTTGTGGTGTAGCCAACACTCAAGAGCCCTGGGACAATGCTTCCCAAATCTACCAGGTAGAGATGGAGATGCCTGTTAAGTACCTGCCTTTTCAGTGGTTTGCGTTGATTCGGAAACAATCAATTCATTCCTATGAAGACAATCGCATTATGGGAAACATCATTTCACATAACTAAATATATTACAGATAGACGTACAGATATTAAGCTTTTCCTTCCATATGGAAGAAGTCTCAATCTTTATAATTTCCTACAATAGCTACTTTACAGCTATCAGAACATAATTAACCTCAAATCTCAATAATTTGTTGTTATCTGCTCTAACTTTCCATTTTTCAGTTTTGCATCACAACATAGGTCTTGAAGGAATAAGGAGAACTGTCGCTTCTTTAGTTAAAGTAAAATGCCACGAGGAAAAAGTAAGAACAGCAATTCAGAATAACCTAAGTTTGCATACCTCGGCTCCAGTAATTTCTGCCTTCTTCACTGCCGGCTAACTGGTCACAGTTTGCAATCTCTTGTTAAACAAGTACCACTACAGAATAAACTACCTGGAAGCCTGACAGTACAGTTAGATGTGGTGGCCCAAGCCACCTTTACACTTGGCTGTTAATAAAAGATGTATATCTACCACCTCAGTCCACCCTTTATTCCTGGTTGAGGGGTGAAACATCAAGTTGGTTTACTTCCAGAGCAGCTTCCTTCCCACCGACCCCTCTTTTGTGAGAGCCATAGCCCCCACCTCCGCTCCCACCCCAAATCAGCTTTCCAGTGTGGAATTCCCGACCTGTGCAATGGCACTCTGTGGCACTCAGACAGGCGCTGCTGCAAGGTAAGGAGGATGACTGAAAAGCCGCCTCGCTGAAGTCCAGCCAGATAGAAGTATATGTAATAGGTACTACACGCATTTTTGTTGGAGTCATTTATACCGCTAACCACAAGGCTACATCCCCAACATCACATATATCACTTATAATGGAAGTGTACAGCTGCGTAAGTATACGTAGCACCTTTAATGCACTAAGAGAGCTATATTAAGTGACTGACGTAACTGTGCACTAACTATTGCTACTGGTTATGAAGGTGCAACTAGTCTACAATACACCAGCTTATTAAACACCAAGTGTTACTGCTACGCCTGCATTAACGTTAACCTGTTACACCTCAGCTGACATTAAGAATTTCAAGTGAAGAACACAAACCAGGCTCATTTTACCTGGCAACAAGGAATACGCCTATTTAAACTGTATTCGGTACAAAGCCAAATGACTTACTAAAAACTTTCTCCAAGGAACCGTATGAGATCTTAATTTGTTCAAATCACTAGTAAAAAGAGATTAGCTTTTCAGATAAACAGCTTTAGAAACCAGTGTATTTTCTATGCTTCATAAACTGTACTTTATTTGAACTTAATTTCAAGGAGTTTAAACTTGAGGAAATTAGCAGGAAATTAGCCCTCAGCAGCGTAGCCAGATTCACCCTCAGCATCTAGGGGACAAGTTAAAAACAAAAGAAAACCAAAAATGTCCTCCTTGCCAAAGAACACAATTCTGCTGTCTCATTACTGTTTTGCTAAAATAATTTAATTAGCAGTCTTCAGATACAGGAAGGCATTTATGCTTCATCAGGAAAAGAAGGGCTGGGGGGGCGAATGGTACACGCTGTTCTAGCATACCAGGAACATGGCACTGAATTCTTCCAGCTATCGAGCCAAAGCTGGATTGGCATACCAGAACTAAGCACTTTTTTCATCCAAAGGGGAAAAAAAAAAAAAAAAAAAGCAGCACATTAGGCAGTCTAATATTTGCATACTCTTAACTGCACATAAGAAGAAACAGTTCAGCTGAGGAGCAGGGCTGAGGTATAACAGGTAAATTGGAGATTGTGCTTCCCCCTACCATGCACAAATTAAAAGTCCTAAAACCACGCTGGTCCCCATCTGTCATTACGTTCTGCTCTTGCGAGCGCTGACAGTTGTCATTAGGGAATCCCATAACTAAGGCTTTTATACATAGCTATTTAAGGCAATTCCCCTAAGCTACTCTGTCCGACAGCATATTTAATTCCTGCAATAAAGTAGCAGCCTAGCCTAATTTCAGCATGTGTTTCCTCTTTAGAAATTTTTAGATGGGAAACCTGCCTACGGCGGGGCTGCACTCTACATCTCCAGGACAGCAGAGGCTCCTACAAGAAAGTACTACCTTTTCCTAAAACTGGTCTTTTACTATGGTTTACTGCCAACAGCATTTAGGTGCTCATCAGAACCCTGCACAAGTACCCTGTGCAGGCAAGAGCCCAGGCTTTTGCAAATCCTCGTTGTAAGAGCATTTGTACCATCAAATCAGAAGAATGCTATCCACATCCCCAGTTCAAGTTTCTCATTAGTGTAGGAGTAATCAGCTACTGAACAAGAAACTGAATCACAGTTTATCTTGGAGATCCCCAGAGTCTGGGAATAAACTGCTTCTCAACTCCTTTTTGGCTCAGATATCAGCTGTGTTCAAGTGCACACAGGCATTTCTACAGCTCTCCAGTCCATTTTAGCTGTATAAAAAAATTTTTTTTTGCATAAAAAGATTATTTTGCAGAGCCAAACTGTATTTTTTTACTTCACCAGCATAATCCACAGGTGAATAGGATAAGGCAAGTCTAAATGAACTGGCAGAGTTTGAATCGCTAGTTGAGATTAGCTAAAAATATTGCCGTGATGCATAAACCCAAATAGAAACCTGCTCTCTCTCCCAGGGCAGTATCAATTCTGCAGTCCCAACAGGTGTAAAAAATAATTCATCTTTGTCACTAAACTATATGAATATGCAGGAGGGGGAGGAGAAAGTGCCGTTTGTACATAAATGCTTCCACTCTGCAAATCAAATTTAAAGGCGCTGGGGTACAGAGCCGTCAGAAGCCAGTTTCTTCACCCAGAGGTTTCCAACGTTTCTATAAATTCAACACTGCAAAGTTTATCCCTATATTCTCTATCTAAGTGCTTCAGCCATCCGAGGAAGGCTTTGAAACTCGGCCCACACTGAAAGAGAAGTCTTCCCTGAAAACATGGTTTCAAAGTAAGAAACTACCTAGATAGCGCCCAGGTACAAAGATCACATTTGTTCTGACTTAGTTCCTCAAACACTTTGAACAGCAGTTCAGAGCACAGACTCTGTAAAATGCTCGTGAGAAAGTGGCACGTTCACTCAGAGACATATTGACGAACAGCTATTTACAACCACCGTCATTTAAGTGCCTTTTTATTGTAAATAGTGGGATTTGCAAGAACAGACACCAGAAGATCCTCAAGCTGCTACGAGCTGCTGAATAAACATGGGTAAGGAGTGATTTTTCCCCCGCTGCTTCCCATTTGAACTGCAGGGGCTCAGCCCCGCGCGGAAAATCGCCTGTTTCCTTCCAGCCTCCAATCTCTGCATCTCTCTTTTCTGGGTGGGAGCAGGGAGGGGAATTCAAGGGTGGGTTCTTTTGTTTGTCGCATAAATAAATGCGGATTAAACAACCACTTCAAATGAACATGTCCTTCCTAAGACAATTTTGCCGGAGCCTTCAGACAATAAAGAAGATTTATTTTCCCAGCTTGCCACTCCCCCTCCCCAAACAGCCCTCCATGCCACAGGGCAAGATGAGCCCCAGCATCTGTAATTAATGGCTTTGCATACTTATGTCTGAAGGCTGCAGGTCGGCCACAGCATAACAGATACCCACATGCAGGCAAAGAGGCAAATGCACTTACCCGAGAGATAGCCAGGGGCATGTTGAAATCCTTGCCCCCTTGAAGTCTGAAACCCCAAGGAGCCGGGCCGACCAAAGACACGCTGTAGTTGCTCATGATGTTTAGTATTCAAGGATCAAATCCAAAGAACTGATGCCTGTGGAAGAGGATTAGAGCTTTAAATTAAAGAGGATGAAAACAAAAGGCACTGTCTACTATTCTAAAAGCTTTCTTTCTTTGTCTGTGTTCCCCCCGCACAGTAGAAAAAAAAGCCAAAAAAACCCACACCAGGTCAGTCATTACTTGTGCTTTTTTATTCCTCACCTGCTTTCCTCCAAAGCTAAGGAAGAAACATAACTATGGAACTGGTAACATGGATCTGGGACTTTGAGAACTTCTGGCGCTGAGATGTTTGGCAGCTACTTCTTACTAACAAAATACTGGGGGAGGGGAAACACCCAACATGAAAGCTCATCTTAAAAAAAAAAAGTCAATGTTGAGACAAGCATGAATTTATAGTATCCCTTAAATCCACGTATGGAAGAAATTAGCGCTACTGGCACATTCATTTCCAACAAAATGAGTGTCATATGCTGCCATGTCATCAGCTCACAGCTTGTTTCTAAACACATTATGTCTTGACAGCTTCAAAACGATGTCAAAACATGACAACTTTGAAGTTAATCAGAGGAAAATAAAATCCTTGCAACTTTCTTATTTTTATAGCGTAGCTTCGCATTGGAAGAACAATGCTACAGACAAATCCGATATTAAAACCAACCCTCAAATGAAAGCTGTGAACTACAGCGACATACCCATGGCCACAACTTAACGCTGAGGCAGCAAAACCCCAGCATCTCCCTCCCCTCCCCGCAAACACGGGCAACAAATTACCTTTAAAAGGCAACAGAAGCACTCAATTGCCGTTCGGCGTCAAAGATAAGGGCTTCAGTTTCCCCTCAGATAAGTAACGTTACAATGACATCTTAGGTAGTGGATCCCGTCTATTTTTGTATGGTTGAAGCCAGGCAGGAGCACACCAGGGCGGGCTGGTGTAAGACTACACCGGGGCACAGCCAGATTCCATACTCGTATAGGGACATTTAAGGTGGACCTTCAGTCAAGCAGAAGCAAGCGGGCTGCAAACCCCACCCAGCTCCTCAAAGCCCAGTCTTACCTGTTCCTACACCGCAGGGTGGGTGCGCGTGTGTGATTTTTTTGGGGAGGTGGTGGGTTTTCACAAACGCAGCCCAGCATTGCGGACCTCCAGAGCAGGGCTGTCCCACAGCCCCTGTGGGTGGGAAGGACATTTAATGTCACCCCTTGGGAAAGCCATCAGTAACACACACGTTTCTGGGTTCACCTCCCAGAGCCACGGAGATCCGCTGCTCAGACCTGTTTCCAAATCAAACGGCAAACTTTTTTCACACCGCCAGCCACTCAGGTAACCAGAACAAGGCTGGTGGCACTGGGCAGAACAGGATATATACTAGGAAGCAAAACTGGGAGCTGGCAACGGAGGTGCCTGGGCAGTCCCTGACGTGCCCCTGCCTGTTAGCACCCAGCAAAGGGGCAGCTCTGACCCCAGGCGCCGACTCAACCCACCCTTAAAAGTCTCAACAAGCACCAATATGCAGATGGGGAAACGCTAAGCTTTCGTGTGGCTGACAAGAAAAAAAAAAAGAAACAAAAAGCCTCCACCAAGCTTGAGTTGGGACTCTTAGGGGACTCGCTCACCACTAAAGAGAGAACTGCAACTCCTTTAATTGCTCTGTGCACTGGATTCCTTATAAAAAGAGGATTTTAATGAGTCACAGATTTCTTTCCATACAAAAAATACAAATTCTTGTCATTCCCTCTAAATGAAATCCACCGCAGTGACAGGTCACTATAAATTAGAGACTGCAGAAAAGCAAACCACATCTAGCGACTGTTTCTAGCAGTTCGTTCATCGGCATGGGCAGACAGCTTTACCTATCAGTTAAAACTGAAGCAGTTGTGTAGCGCCTTTTAAAAAAAAATAACAGCTAGTTCCAACAACAGAGCTAGGAAAAGATCAAGTTATATTAGAAAAGGAGACTGTTTGTTTTGGTTTTTTTTTTTTCATTTGTAGCAACTACAAACGGGAGGGAAGAGACTGCACGCTGAAATGCCGTGCATCACTCTCAGCATCACTCATCTTCCCTTTCTCACCCCCTCCGTTCCGCCGGGTCTGCATCTCCAGGCTCACAGATACGCCAGGCGGGACTGGCAGACAAAGGACATCTCTTCAAAGTTTAACTTAACCGATTTCTTAAAATATGCCAGACCAACGTCTGAGAGAAAGTATCGCAACCCACCAACCCCGCTTCGTGTGGGCAACGTTGCGCAAACCAACCAGCTCAGGCTGAAAATTGTGCAACTTTCACTCGGGCGATCAAACACTCTACTTCGGGAAGGGGGAATTTCAAAACCCAGGCAGAAGCGCTCGCAGAGCCCCAAGGACCAGGGGGTGGCCAGGGGGGCCCTCCAGCCCCCCCGGGAGGGCTGGCTGAGCCCGGGGTGGGAAGAGCCAGCACAGACCCCCGTACCCCCCCGCTCCCCCTTTGCCCAACTCCCCCATCGAAACCCTCCAAGCGTCCCGAGAGGAGGAACCCCC